TTAGGTTGCTGTAGCAACTCACTATTAGGGAAGGAATCCAGAGGAGGGAAACGCAGAACGAGCCGCAGTGGAATACACGCTGACGATCTCCCACACAGCAGAAAACAGCATCACAGACTCTCTAGCTGTCTGTGCAGCCGGGACAGCACAAACAGCCTCAGATGAGCATATAGACTGCTGGGAGAGAGACGTTTAAATTCCAGATCCCTTTGTGAGGCACTTTGATTTGATTTTTTATTCTATATTTTTAATGATATTTACACTCATAGAATACTTGTATCTCTGTACCCTGTATATTTTATCTTTGCTTTTCTGTTGGAATACAGTGATTTTTATGAAGATACCATTGTGGTCCTACTGATCATTCCATACCTCATACCTGGTTATTATTTTTTGTGTATCACACTATTATCTACATGTATTATAGTTTGTTACTAGAGTATGTAGCTCATGAGGCAAGTTCCTTGGCTGTTTAATAGCAAGGACTTTTAAACTTAGCCTTTTTAAGAGCTAATAACTTCTGGACTGTTGGACTATCCCAGTGCATTATTGGTGTTTACAAATAAGCAGATAAGATCCCTGGCTTTGTGCATATAGGGGGTTTCCTGCATAGCGTGGACTTGAACTGATACATTGTATACTCTTTGGACTAAGTTATTTATCACTTTTCCACTGTATCAATTGAGGCTGGTATTTGATTATACAAGACATTATATCTCCTGTATAGCCAATCCTCCAAAATTCCCTGCTCAGTAGAGCCAACCTTGTCTCTTGCATTTTATGTATCCATTTTTATGTTGATAAATATTTCTCTTCTATGTATGTGTGAGTGTCAAAATGTACTCCTGATTTAGGCATTGGACTTGATTAATTTGCTTCTTTTTTTTTTTCATTGTATATCCATACAGCCTAGGGTGTGGGCTGTTTATCGCAATTGTTTAGTAGATAACTAACTATTAAAAATTCTTTCTTCCTAACTATACCCAAGAGAGTTAATTCCCTGTGGGTTTATTTTTACCACTTTATATACAGTCTGCGCTATGTCGCTTTTATGTTTTTATTAACAGGTTCTAACTCATTTACTGCTACTATTGTGATTTACCTTGAATACCTGTTGCGCTATCATCTTATTTTCTCCAGCATCGCAGTTTACTGCAAACGGGGCTGCATAGCAGCAGACCAGTCATAGTGCTTATGATGACCCCTGTCTAGAACCAAAACCACTTTCAATGCGGACTTGAGCATTAGAGCTAAACCATGGAGCAATGGAAGAAAGTTTCCTGGTCTGATAATTCATGTTTTCTTTTAGATCAGGTGGATGGCCTCGTGAGTGTCGGATGCACAATGGGAAGGAGGGAGGCTATCAGAGACAGTGTTATGCTCTGAGCAATCTTCTGACTGGAAACCATGCATTCATATGGTTGCTACTTTTACACATACCACCTAACTAGAGATAATTGCAGACCATGTACACCCCTTCTTGGCAATGGTGTTCCCTGATGACAGGGGCCTCTTTCAGCAGGATAATGCACCCTGTCACACTGCAAAAATTCTTCAGGAATGGTTTAAGGAAGATGACAAGGAGCATGCCACGAAAACCCCTCAAGATTTGACCCAGTAGTCTAGCCATCACTATTTGGCCCTTGTCAAAGTCACTCTGATCTTTTCTCTTGCCCATCTTCCAACACATGAAAGAACTGACAAGTCACTTGTTCCCTAATGTATCCTACCCCTTGACAGTTGCCATGGTAATGATACTATCAATGTTATTAATTTCACCTGTCAATAGTTAAGAGTTATGGCTGACCACTGTAGATTATGTTAGATTATATTGTTATATATGAGACCCCCACATTACTTTTTCTATGTGCCTCCTCCCACTTCAGGAAAATTAGAATGTCTTCTAATATAATATGGTTTAGTCTAAAATCTCTCCTTTTCTGCAGGTGGGAGGGGGGAGGGAGGTTCAGCATATCCCAATACCATGCTTAAACCAAATGACTATTTGACCCTTTAAGGGGTTTTTATCCCTAATGTTCAAATAGGTCATTAATCAATCGTTATTACCTTACAGTTAATAGATAACACTTGAACTTTGAGAAATATGCAAATGTTTTACTAATGGTCATTGATATAATTCTAATAAAACTGGAAACTTAATCTTTAGATTTCTTCTTCTATTGATCACTACAATAGCAGAGATGATCGAAGAGACTTTATTGCTTGCAGTTACAGTTGTTTATGGCATACTTTTCTGTTTGTATGGTGATGTACAGGTAGTTAGCTACATTGCTGCATAGTAATGTAAGTAATAAAGGACTCTTGTCCATCAAATTTAGCCTTTCACATATTTCTACTATTGCTGTTATTTAAGATGATGGTGCAAAACGCCTGGTTTTAAGCGATTTCCAATCCAATTTTGTTTGAATAACTATATGAGAAAGAGTTATAGAAAATGACAGAGATTCAAGCATTAATGTTAACTTTAAATACATTTGTTATAAATGTTATTTTTACTCAAAGGCACCCTTGTCACACAAAGCATATATGATTACCATACGGCAGTAGCAATACAAAGACCCCAACCACTCTGTATACAGGAAAGAAATTTTGCTGAATGGACGGCTTTTTCAAAGTGTTTTATCAAACATTTGATAAAACATGGACATCACTAGGCAAAAGGGTAACTGTAAATTGTTGAACCAAACATATGTGTAAAATCACAGACACACTGTTTAATTGCCTAATACTTTCAAATAAATATATTTTGTGTATAGGCCCTGGCCAAAATACATCTACTGGTGCAGGTGGAAGAACCACCCACTGGTGGTTTACATGCAGAAGCAGTGACAGGTCTGCAAAGCATAAGAATAGTTGGGAATATTGAAAGTCGGTGAAACCAGTAGTACATAGAATGATAAGACAAGCTGAAATATGAATAACAAAATACAAAATTAGTGAGAGGCAAAGCCAGATCAAGGGACCATGACAGGATAAACAGCAAGTCAGGCTAGGCAAAACCATCTCAAAGTAAGACTCAAAAATATAAATGTGCTTCTGTGTCATAAGCCATAGCAGGGCAATGCATATAGGGTCAGTCAGGCTTTTCTAATATAAAATTTAGCTGTTGCAAGGTCATCATTAAGATACATTCAAATAACCCTTGTGCACATGTAGTATTCTGACAAATGTGTCATGGTTGTTTGCTGTCACTGAGATATAGCTTAAAAGGGAGAAGCAAATGAATGAGCAGTATAGAAACAGCAGTCATTGGTTAGTATCATGGGGCTCCTGACAGACAGGTATCAGATATGCTGACCTGTCACTGTTTCAATTAAAATAAGAAGTGTTGGAAGTGGGAATATGAAAGCATGATGTAGTGAGGAGTGAGAATGAACAGGGAAGGTGAAAAGAAGGGAGATTACTCAAAGAGAGGATAACAACAATGGTAGATGATTGGGGAGGGTAGAATTAAAAGAAGTGGAGATGTAGTAAAGAGGGGAGAATTAAAAGAGAAAGTGGAAGGTAGGGAGCAAAATATAAAGGGGAGATGGATTGAGAAGGGATAATCAAAATTGATAAATTGATTCTAGAAAAGAAGAATAAAAAGTGGAGATGGGAGAATAATAAGGGTTGCTGAAGAATAATAAGGGTTACTGCTTAAAGGGACAATCCAGGCTCCCAGATCACTTCTGCCCACTGGAGTGGTCTGGGTGCCAACTCCCACTACCTTTAACTCCTCCTCTATTGGCAGTCTACTAGACAGCCACTAGAGGGCACTTCCGGGTTTATAGCACACACGGTGTGTGAGGACCTCCAGCGTTGCTGAAATCCCCATAGGAAAGCATTTTTCAATGCTTTCCTATGGGGAGGTCTAATGCAGGTGCGCGGCCATTGCTGCCCATGCACAATAGTTCTCCCCCGCCAGATGACGCCGGCGGGGGAGGAGCATGGACGGACCCTGAAGGGACATCAGCGCTGAAGGGACATCGATGGACATTGCGCTGGATACAGGTAAGTCAACTTGGGATGGGGGGTGGGAGGGAGAGGGGACCTGCAGTGCCAGGAAAACAGTTTGTTTTCCTGGCACTGGAGAGTCCCTTTAAGGAGATAAATGGGAAATAATAAAAAGGATATATGCCAAAAAAAAATTGCAAATTTAATGAGGATAGAGGAAATTAATGAAAAAATTAAGTGGGGGGTAGGGGGGCATAAAATGCATAAATTGCAAAGGAGGAAAAATAAAAGAGCAGAGGAAGGAAGAGTAAAATGAAAAAGGTATATTAAATGAAGAAATAATAAAAAGTTCATACAAAAAAAGCAATACGACACATGGTAGATGGACAGTAAAAATATGGATTGAGCAGTGTGTTTTGAAATAAAGGCAGAGTAAATGCTAAATGGGAAAAATAATGAAGAGGTGAGGAGATCGGAAAATGCTTGATATTAGAGCAACAAATCCATTCTTGTGACCGCACTGCTCTGTATAGTACTGATAATCAAAATTTGGCTCCAATAGAGCTCAAAGAAGTTGGATGGTTTTGTCAGCAAAATCATGATGGTTACTGCTGTCAATCTGCTCAGGATGGAGTTCAGCCTGTGAAGCTCTTTTACAAGTCTGTCTTGTTACAAATAAATGAGAAACAGCTACATGTAAACATAATGGACATTTGGTATAGTCACATATATGTGTTTATTAACACTTTGCATAAGTACAACATGATTTAAACAGCCAATGTATTGCATAACAAAATAAACAATAATGACATTGCATATTGATAATTAATAAAAAGATTAATTTGATCCAAAAGTTTCCAGGTATCTTTATGTAATGTCAAACTAACCTATCAAAAGTCCAAAGTTGTAATATTGGATATAATGTTTTATCCGATGAGAGTTAACTTAGGAAATTTTATACATTATTTATTTTAAGAGCAGCACTTGTATTATATGTTTAAATACATAAATTAAAAACCCATAATTATTATTTCAGATTGTATTTACAATCTAAGTTCTGGATCTTTTCTTTTTTTCAGACAGCTGACAATGCAGAGAGTAATGCTTATTATAATACTAATGATAACGGCGGCAGAACAAACTATAAGTGTCATGTCTGTTATGTTCAGTGAATTAGAAACATTTGTTTTTGGGTGGGTGAGGATTGGTTTTGTAGTGGTAGCTTCTTGTGCAGTGGTGGTCGTTGGAGCTGGTGTAGGAGGAACAAAGAGAGCAGCTTGCGCTATATTTGATGGGTCTGATTTTTGGGAAACCTTATCAATAGCAACTATTGCAAAAAAGAGTACAGTTCCATTCTCTATGACAACATTTTCAGGTGCAAAGCTGAATGTTTCAATGAATCCAGCTTCTTGTGGAGTCAAACTGGAGATATTAACTTGAGTAGCATTAATAAAGTTTTCTCTTAGGCCTTTAAGATCAGTGCTCATTCTTAAGTCATAACGTGAAGCTGAAAAATAAACAAAATTGATTACATTGTATATGGGGACATCATTAGTGCAGTTATTTCATGATATGTTTAATTCAGTGCCCATACATTTGGTCAAAAATGGACACGCACAAATTCTGGTCTTCCCAAGATTAGGAAAAATTAAATATAGCAAATTAAATTACTGTACCCGAATCCATAACCCCCGCTAATCTACAGCAGAACTGTGACATGTATATCCCAGTGCAGTTCTAACAGTATAGAGTAACTTGTTAGCCCTACCCAATACTTCACTAATGCTAATATACTATTACAATAACACTTAACACCTACTCTACCCTAACATATACACTAGCAGTAACCATTACTGACACTGTTCTATCTATCTACTCCCCATTATTGAGTTTTAGGCCCCACTCAATATCAATGGTTGGGGGTTGAAGGAGGACCAGTACCAGGTTCCCTCACATTAATTTACAGGTGGCATTTATAGCAACTGGACAGCAATAGTTTCCAGTCGCTAGTTTTTATAACAGTGAACAGCTGCCATATGTTCTTTGTTTAGTAGATATTATTCCACCCAAGCATGGCTGCCAGATGATCTCTGTTTAGTAAAAAATATTCCACCCATAGCATGGCAAGTGGGGGCATAATGAAGATGCTAAACTCCTTTATAGTAATATGGTGGTCCATATCTTTTTTTAAATACTTTTTTTTTTTAAATGTATTGGAGCGGCTGACTAGTAAGTGCTGCGCATCTGCTATATAGCTTAACTATCGCAAGAATCTACTCCAATTTCACATCAATATATCACTTATATGTATCTGCAAAGAAAAAATATACAAACAGGGCAGAAAGTATATTCTCAACCTATAAACACCCCTCTTAATCTCCTTTTGGATGCCACTCACATATACCAGTGCCCTTTCTCCTGGGCTCTAGGTTTTAACACAGAAATGTTAGAAGGACAGATTCTGGAGCTGCTTTAAGATCATTTTTAGTGAGTTTACTTCATTGTGAGCTGGCAATAATTTTATATATACGTTTTTTATTTTATAAGTATTTCCAGTGCACTATGATGTAGGTACACACATTCAGGACAATCAGCCACAATTCTGAGTATTGCAAAATCCAGACAATGTTAAACAGTATGAATAGTGTCGGCATTTTACAGTCCAAATTGCACTTTAGTAAATTGACCAACATCTTATGTTAACATTTTTTGGACATAGTAATGTATTAATGTACCATTCCCCTTGTCCAGATCATCACCAGTTGCTGTCCAGGTCAATGTAATCATTTGGTCTTCTATATTTGCCTCCAAATCCATTATTTTTTCAGGTTTATAAACATCAGGCTGGCTACTGGAGGGTGCACTTTCTAAAATAAAAGAGCCACCAGATGATGTCCTGCTGAAAGCTCCTAAACTAAGATCTTCATCTTTAACTTCTGGTCTTGTAGGATTCATGTGGATCATACCTAAAAGACAGCTTTCAATTACATTTATTGAAAATTGTGACTTACATGTCAGTCTCACGGTATTATGAGAAACTTGGGAAAATTGTAAATGCTAACTTTTTAAAAATTAAGAATAAACCTAAATGATTGAACAATGTGACTTAAGTTGAGTAAACTTTGTGTAAAAACTTGAGAGGCGCATTGGGTGACCCACACGATCACTGGGCCATTTAATAGAGATCTAGGGACTAATGAAAGTATTTAGAAAATTGGGCAGACTAGATGGGCCGAATGGTTCTTATCTGCCGTCACATTCTATGTTTCTATCTCTGATGAGGTACACAGTCAGATGCCTCTACGCTTTGCCAGCACACCAAAGTTCTGGACAATTTGACTGTTTCCTTCAGGGCTGTGCTGAGCTGGGAGGACGTGATCATGCTTTATTTCCTCCCAGCAAACGGAGCTCAATGCAAAGAAAAGAGGTAGACAGAGGAGATAGCTCTAGCTAGCTCCTATTACCCCACTCAGCTCCACATCCCACAGCGATCTCTTTGCAACCCCAACCATACCTCACTGGAACCCAGGGAAGCCCCACAATTTATAGAAGCAGAAGGGTGTTTAAAATGTACTGTCATGTTTTTTGTATGTATATTTGTGTGTGTGTGTGTATGTATGTATCTTTGTATGGGTGTATTTCAGTGTATATAACTTTGTGTGGATCTACCTTATGGTCACCCATGCTTTGGGGGTGGGTGACACAAAAAACTTCCCACAACAGAGCTCTCTCTTTATTAGTTCTGCTATAATATGCATGGAAATCTATTTAGAGTTTTTCTTGAAATTGTCTCTCTAAATTACGCATGCCTGCTAGTTCTTGTTCTATATAACACTAACTTTCATCATTTGAATTTTAGACAAGTGGCACATCATACTAGCTTCTGCATCATTCCAGGCTGGGCATATTTAGCCCACTTTTCGTACAATTAGAAGAAATAATTGTATTATTTAGTCTTGGTTTTTTACCAGCCCAGACAAATTTATTTACATTTAATTGAAATGCTCTAATCCAACTTAAAGGTAATTTTAAGGGTATCATTCTCAGTAAATAAATCCATTTCGGAATAACATACGCTCTAATTACATTTATCCTTCCCAGCTATGATATAAAAAGACTTTTCCATTCTTGTTGTCTAATTGTTTCTTCCAAAAGTATAGAATAGTTAATTTCAATAATAGTTCCTATGTTTTTGGGGATTTTAACTCCCAGATAATTAATTTTGTTGATTCCCCAACAGAATTTAAACTTTTTACTTAAGCTAGATCTTTCCATGACTGATATTGCTATATCCATAACCTGTGATTTGTTTGAATTTATTTTATAATTTGTTACATAAGCATATTCTTCAATTTCGAGCATTAACGAGGCTAGAGAGTTCTCAGGGTCATGTAAAGAAGGAAGAATGTCGTCAGCATACATACTAAGTTTATTTTCCAGATCTCCTATTTTGATGCCCTTAATACCGACATTATTCCTAATTCTTGGTGCAAAAGGTTCAAGTGTTAAAATATATAACATTGGTGCTAGCGGGCAGCCTTGTCATGTGACATTCCCTATTTTGAACCATTCTGATCCACTCTGGCACTTGGATTAGTGTATAAGGCCATGACAGAGCCAATAAAGACCTCACCAAATCCAAAGCTTTGAAGAACTTCCTCCAGAAAGGTCCAAATGACTCTGCCAAAAGCCTTCTCTGCGTCACGTGATATAAATCGAGATGGTATTTTGTTAGAACTAACATAATCCAATAAATTTATTATTTTCCTTGTATTATCATTAGATTGTTGATCTTTAACAAATCCAACCTGATCTTTTGTATAAGAGTTGGACATACATTTTTTAAATGTACAGCAAGCATAGCAGAGTATATCTTTGTATCTGTATTAATCAGGGAAATAGGTCTGTAATTTGATAATTTTACCGCCTCTTTAAAATAGGAAGAATAAATGCCTGAAGCATATCAGGTGGAAGAGAACTAGCTTCTCTAACCTCATTAAATTTCCCAGTGAAATATGGACCTAGAGTGTCCATCATTTTTTTATAAAATTCTGCTGGGAATCCATCAGGTCCGGATGCCTTGTTAGGCTTTTGTACTCTAATTGCATTCATAATTTCTTCAAATTCAATAGGAGCATCCAGATAAGTAGACTTCACTTCAGATAATCAGTTTAAATTAGAACCTAATAGATATTTTCTCATTTGTGCCCTATCTTTTAACTGGTCTGAGATATTATATCTTGTGTGGCTATAAAACAATGACTATCTATATTTGCAGTTCTATAAAATATATTGTTTTCTACTGCAACATAGTGTGATTTAGCTACACTATGCATTTAATATTCATGCATTATATTATCACTCTGTGATATACTCCTTATCACAATGGACAGATAACATACAATATTATCTTATAGATACAGCTACTGAAGACACCAGTAATAAAATATACACTGATATTCAAGTAGTGAATACTGCATAAGTTTCTTACAAGTAATCAAAGTCTATCTACTGTATTTCACCTACAGTGAATACAACTCCTAGACTGAGATCATTAGGTTACGATAGCAGACTCAAACTAATCCAGTATTATTACTGCATAAAGCATACATAATTAATGTATTAGTTACCTTAGGCTTACCTTATGGATATCCTAAATAATAATATAGTTACAAAAAAATGTAAAAAAAATGTTTGCAGCAGTGGTCTTGAAATTTGACTAATCATGATGCAGCACAACAACAGAACTATTTTTTTCATTTTTTTCTAATAATCTCCTCCTTCCAACATCACACTACATAGTATACCATAGACTTGTATAGTTCTACAATATTTATTACGTGTTGTTATTAAATCATAATATATTAGCACCGACAAGCTAGTTTATAATTGGGTGATAATGACTGCCAGACCTATAAATTCATTCGAAATATAGAACATTCAAACAGTGTTCCATTAATGATGTAACTCAAATGGTGACAAAGCAAAAGGAGACCTCTAGTGGATTTCACTGGTTGCAATTTCTTTCAAAAAATCTAGAGACGGGTGCACGTGTAATTACTATTTAGGAATGTGTTAGAACAATTCATCAAACCAACAATTCTGACAATAAATAAGAAAATTAATAAACAGTGGCCCTGTTTTGTTGTATATAATATTTTATCTTTAGTTTTAATTTTATTTGGGATTGGTAAAATGGTAACTATGTGCAATTATGCTAAGTGCAAAAGCTATGGTGAATAGATTCCTCATCGATTCACTGTACACAGTGGCTTATTATTGCAATGATTTGCAAAATCATTGCAGCTATAAAATTGTTTCTCCCCAAAGATGAAAAAGAGGAAATTTAGTTTGTCCAACTTCTATTCAAACTGTTCATGCAACATACATGCACAGTTCACCAACCCCCCTTCCTCTGGAGTGTTCCTGAGAAAGCATGTGCACATGTCCCAGGACAATGTAAAAGTGACTGTGAATAGGCTTCAGCAACTACAGTATGACCACCGTCATCTTATTGAGCATCCTTAAGAACAATGTACATAGATCAGAGTGATTGGTGAAACCACTTCCTGGTATAGAACGAGGTCTCTCTCTCTCTCTTTGCAGCAGAAACTTGTCCAGGAATTTTAGGAACTTTATTAGTGAATGTTTTTTTTTTAATGTGTTATCTGTATAATAAATTAAAAAGGGGAGGGATTAGTTACATGTGACCTTATAGCAGCCTTTTAAGTTTAATTTACTCAATATTTTACTCAGAGGAAACAGTTTATTATTCTCAAGCTTAAACAACTTCCACATTGATTTATTCTAGTATAAGCAGGGCCGTCTTTAATATTGACCGGACACTGGGAAACCATTTGCTTGGGGCCCCTGGACTCTGCCCCCTGCCAGACATACTAACACACATACACAGAGACATACACTGACAGACATACTGACACACACGCTGACACACACACTGACAGACACATATTGACAGACATACTGACACACATACAGACACATACAATAACAGACATACTGACATACACAGACACATACAATAACAGACATACTGACATACACAGACAGACATACTGACACAAGCACAGACACATACACTAACAGACATACTGACATAAACATACACTGACAGACATACTGACAAACATACACTGAAAGACATACTGACACAAACACAGACAGACATACTGACATAAACATACACTGACATACATACTGACACAAACACATACACTGACAGACATACTGACATAAACATACACTGACAGACATACTGACAAACATACACTGAAAGACATACTGACACAAACACAGACAGACATACTGACATAAACATACACTGACATACATACTGACACAAACACATACACTGACAGACATACTGACATAAACATACACTGACAGACATACTGACAAACATACTGACTGACAGACATACTGACACAAACACAGACAGACATACTGACATAAACATACACTGACATACATACTGACACAAACACATACACTGACAGACATACTGACATAAACATACACTGACAGACATACTGACAAACATACACTAAAAGACATACTGACACAAACACAGACAGACATACTGACATAAACATACACTGACATACATACTGACACAAACACATACACTGACAGACATACTGACATAAACATACACTGACAGACATACTGACAAACATACACTGACAGACATACTGACACAGACACTGACAGACATACTGACATAAACATACACTGACAGACATACTGACACAAACACAGACACAGACAGACATACTGACATAAATTTACACTTTTAAACCCACCCACAAGTTTCCTACCTTGGAAGGTGGTTCCCCAGGTGTCCAGACTGAAGGTTGTTGGGATCTGCCTCTCCTGGCAAAGGCTCCCTCCTTCGTCTCCCACGCGTCTCCTCTCCTTAGTGGGAGGAAGTGACTCGCAGCCGTCACTTCCTCCCAGTGCTGCCGAAAAGCAAAGGGCCCGGTCGCGCTGTTAAAGTACTACAGCGTGTGACCGGGCCCCTGCTTACAATACCCACCCGGTGGCCTCCTTAATGTGGGGGCCGGCAGCCCCATGGGAGAAACAATTGTTGAGGGCAGCGGGGCCCACGGGAAAGCTGCCTTGGGCCCCCCAAGAGTAACTGGGCCCGGGGCAGCTGCCCCGTTTGCCCCGCGTTAAAGACGGCCCTGAGTATAAGAAACATTAAAATGATGCTCTAATGAGACTGAAGCCTAGAATTAATATAATGAAAACCCAGAGTCAGCATGCACATCATATGTATGTGGAACTTTATAATGCACAATCTTACAATTTGAGTTTTATTGCACTGGGATCATGAAAGCATTGGGTGTCTAGGTGGGGTTATTGTATTAAGGTAGAGTGTGGAAAGACTAATTGAAGTTCTGTTGAATCTTGCACTGGGTTAAAGTCTCAGATTTGTAATACTTCTAGTCTAGAAAATATACCAAAATCTTAAATCAAATGCAGGTATATACTGTACATTAGTCAACACATGAATCAAGAAATGGAAACAATGTCTTACCATTTTCTATATAACCTGGAACATAAAGAGCACGATTCTTTGGCACAACCAACTGACTTTTATTGTCATCACTTTCAACGCGCACTTTTAAGCTGTATCTGCCTTTATCTGTGAAATCTGTAAAATACCTTGAGTAGACACCATCGTTTTTCACAATGTCAGCACCTACAATTGGATCAGTCAGTTTGAAGTTAGATTGAAAGAATGAAAAGATTCAATAATTTCTCAGTAAAAGGCACATATATGAGAAACTGAGAAGTGGACCAGAAAAATCTCATACCATGGTATAAACATAGTATCGCTTACTATTCAGCATTTCACCAGTTTATAAATCCACAATCATTTATTTTGAGCTATTGCTGCCGAAAGACATCTTTTTTTTTCTTCCAATTTGTAGTTCATAAAAATGCAAAGGTGGTATTTTGTAGAATGTAGATAATAAAAAAGATACCATCTGGCACCAACTCAAACCTTGGACAGTGTCCTCTGTATCCTCAAGAGCAGTGCTGCAGGAACAGTTTTAGAGGGTGTAAATCTTAGTGCTGTCCATCTGCCCCTAACAGCCTCTCACCTAGGCAATGCTGTGCAGGATGAGCAGGGGATGCACACTGTATAACTACTCCAATAGCTTTACTTAATCTATCTGACTGGTCTACAGAAAATTTAGGAGAGCAAATACTTTACAAATAAACCTTCAAACCCCAGCACTCAGAATCTAAGCATAAAAATAAAATCCTTTACCTTAATGTTTGTCATCTGTTAATCTTCTTAGCACTAAACACCTTATGTAATCCAACTCTGACATTATTCCCTCTCTGACCTTAAACCCCCTTTACCCTATCCTCTTCTAACATTATCTTTAACCCTGTATGCATTTACACAGTTGCATATGCTCACTATACTCACAGAATCAAACAATACACTACAAGCAGAGCAGAAATATGCACATATATACATTTATACATATGCAGTTGTCCAATGTGAATATATTTTTAGATGTTCTTAGGCCTGCAATGTCCAGTTAAAAATTCATTATACTTTCTCTGTCTTATTTTGGGATTGGGTAGCAGGAGGTGCCTTAGAATTGTGTGCCTAAAGGTTCCTGACATGTAAATGTGGCCCTGTTTGTAATGCATTATAAAAACGGAGAAACTCCATGAATCTTTGATCAAGTGCTAATCACATGAAACATGTCAGACTATATCTCTACTACTTCATTCTCTTTCTTGCCCACTGTGTGGTTTTAATATGATTTGGCATAGGTGTTCAAGATAAATTGACATACAGAAAGTATATGGTCTACCTTTTCTTCATTTTCTCTGTAACCTGACCTCTCCTTCACTTTCTTTCCTGACATTGACTTCACTCTGATAGAGGATATATTTTACATGACTGCATTGAGGACAAACCATCCCTTTCCATGGATTGTATGCTCACAAACTCTGGGAACCACAGGAAACCTGTAGGGGTAAACCTGCTGTAACGGAACCGCTGGCATCCCGACTTGGTACCTTCCGCCGACGGATCCGAGGACTCCAAGCACTCTGCCCGACACCATAACAACTGCAGACCCCACGAACCGTCGCAGCTTGGTTGGGGTATCTCCATCTCCACCCACTCTGGACCCAAGACCAGGGTCCAGCTTCCAGTAGGTCAACCTCTCTGAATTCCAGAGAGCAGGAACAGGACCAAGCTCTTAGCAGAGCTTAGTGATCATATCCTGGGGAGTATAGTGATTATAGCAATCCCCAGAGTGTAGTTCTCCAATCCCCCAAACATGAGCCAAAACTTCATGAAGGTACAGGATGATCTCAGCTTTTAATGATCACATACTGGCTTTTATGCAAGTCCCCATGCAAGGAGACATCCCACAGGGTGGGACACAGTACAACCAATCGCACAATGGTTACATCCCACACATCTCCTCCCCTTAGCCTGAGAGGTAATCCAATTATCCATACATTTTAAAACACACTTTTTACCCAACTTTCATAACTCTAAAACCATACATCCAATATTATTAAAAAGTCACATATTATTAATCAACACATCCCAAATACAAACATACCCAAAAATCATGCAAATCCTTCCATTGGTTCAAAAGTTAGTTAGGAGTCCTTTGTGACCAAATGAAGCATGGCTTTTCTGTGCAAAACCAGTTCCACAGAGTCCTCTATCCTGGAGATAATTGGGAAGTAATCCAATTATCTCCAAGGGCAGAGGCAAAACTCCATTGAACACATGGCAGCAAAAGACAATAAAATACATAAAAATATATAACTGTGCATCCATTGCATAAAAAAGGTACATTCAACATATCCCGAGATAGCTCAGATCTGAGTGCACATTATTACTGAATGGCGTTCAGATCACACACATACAGTTCAATTGCCATGGAGCCAAAGTCTTTCCCATAGTCTTTCATTATATGAATGGGCTCCATGGCATAGCTATCTGGGGTATCACTGCTCAAACAGGGTCAGCACCGAATGACCCGGCTTTCGTGTATTTGCAGGGGAAAATTAAGCGTTTCAACATGGGGCCATAGTCATGAGGCAGGAGGCTGGCACTCAGGCTCCTCCAACAGCCAGGGGCAAAGGGCAGCTTGTCACCTAAAAATCCAGTGACAAAAGGCATTTCGTCACACCTGCCTAAAACATTTCAGTATAAAGATAGTAGCAAGTTTTGGGCATCAGCCTTTGTACTATACATATAGAAAATAGTACTCATGAACAAAAGCTGAGGTCCTAGGCATCAGATATATTGTATCAACATACCAGTAGGAAGACTTTTCGCGTGTACAAAATTATATATTCACTGATCAGCCACAACATTAAAACCGGTGAGAGGTGAAGTCAGAGTGCCCATGATGACCCCTATCCACCACCAAAAGTACCTTCAATGGGGAGGAGAGTGCCAGAATCATTAAGTGATTGAGTCACGTTTTCAATTAGATCAGATGGATTCCTGGGTGCATGTGCATTGTTTATCTTGAATGATGAGTGATGGCAGCAGGATGTACTAAGGGAAGAAGGTAGGCCGGTGGAGGCAATGTTATACCCTGGGAAATGGTGTGTTGGGAAACCTTGGTTCCTGGCATTCATGTGGATGTTACCTTGACATGTACTACCTACCAAGATAGTTACACCTTCATGGATATGGTGTTACTTGATGGCAGTTGACTCTTTCAGTAGGATAACCATGTCACTGCAAAAATTATTCAGGAATGGTTTGAGGAACATGAGTTCAAGGTGGAGGCATCGGCCTCCAAATTCCCCGGATCTTAATGCAAGAGACCATGAGTGGGATGTGCTGGAACAACAAATCCACCTTACAAATTGTAAGAATCTGCTGCTAATGTTTTAGTGTGAGATACCACATGACACAGTGTATATATACAAACACACACAGACTCAAAGGATAACATGCTTATTTCTATTATTTTGGTGCATTATTGTGTTTATATAGACATTATCACAGACAGGACTGGTATTAATATTGTTAAAAATTGTACCTGCTCCATTGTCAAGAAGTTCTACAGTTGAAACTCTTCCAGTTGCTGATTCAATAATTGCTGTGACCTTTGCTCCTTTCACAGGCATTAATCCCTGACTTACTGATGCATAGATAATCATTGGATTAGGGGGGTTGTTTGTGTCCTTATCCATGTGGGCATTTACAGTGATTGGAGGAATGTTTATATTGGCCGCCTTGGAGTTCACAGTTATACCTATGGCTTCAGCTGTTGTCTGCCTATTACAGAGATTATATATCCAAGGTCCTGTCTGTGAAAAAAAAATCTGTTAGTTACTAGGATTGCATGTTTGATTTTGTCCAAATTGCAATGCACACAAAGTTTGAGCAATCAAAAAATCATCCAAAATCATTAATTCCAAATCTCAATACGACAGAATCACAGAGCAAACCAAACCAGCAATGAACAAGCTACTTTGTATGATTCATGAATTGGAGTCTCTTCACGTGTAGCCAGAAAATGGGAGAAGCAATGGAGAAGAAGATGGATTCTTCAAGACACTGACTTCAGCTATTGAGGGAGACAGATCTGTAAACAGTAATTGATCAGTTTTCCATTGGATTACCTGTGTGGGAGTGGGAGATTGTCATTAATCCTAGTGTGAGCTTACTATGGTGCCTAGCCGCTGCCAACGCCACTTAAACCAACTTTGAGTGGGAGATAGATGCCCTGTGTCATTGATCCTAGAGTGAGACTAGTGAGGTTTTAAAGTTACTGCTACTGTTAAGTACAGTTCATTTAAAAAAAAAAAGAAGGATGTTACTCCACATACCCTTAAGTAATAGATGGTGAGCATAGCTTGATCGTAAGAAAAGAGTAATATATTATACGTGAACTATATAAAATTGGATAATTATGACCAGAAGTGCAAATTAAGAGAATCGAGTACACCTGTGAAGATTATGGACAAGTCACAGTATAATAGACATGTGCAATTAGTTTTAGTCTGAATTTAAATTGGTCTGAATTTCGGCGATTTGGACATTTAGATACTTCCGAATGTTCGAATTGCCGAATTTCAGAAGTTCCGAAATTCAGAAGTGCCGAACAGAACCGAAGTGCCGAATTGCCGAAGTCCCGAATTTCAGAAGTGCCGAACCCAACCGAATTGCCGAAGTGCCCCTTTTCGGAAGTGCCAAAGTGCTTCAGATTTCTGAAAAGTGTCAAAACAGGAGAAGGAGGGAAAATGAAGGGAATGATGACAGGAATCTAACCCTAACCCCAGCCCTACCCATAACCCTACCCCTAACCCTAACTCTACCCCTAGGGGTAAGGTTAGGGTTAGGTGTAGGGTTAGGGTTGAGGATAGGGTTCGGGGTAGGGTTAGGGGTAGGGTTAGAGGTAGGGTTAGAGGTAGGATTAGGGGTAGGGTTAAGGTTAGGGGTACCGTTAGGGTTAGAATTAGGGGTAGGGTTAGGTGTAGGATTAGGGGTAGGGTTAAGGTTAGGGAATTGCCAAAGTTCTGAATTCAAGTCCCGAATTGCTGAAATCCCAAATTTCAAAAGTGCCAAACCGAAGTGGCAAATTGCCGAAGTCCCGAATATCGGATGTGCCAAACCGAAGTGGCAAATTGCCGAAGTCCCGAATATCGGATGTGCCGAACCGAAGTGCCGAATTGCCGAAGTCCCGAATTGCCAAAGTCCCGAATTTCGGAAGTGCCGAACCGAACCAAACAGTGTATTGTGTGTATGTATGTATCTTTAAGTTAAGGTGTGTGTATCTGTGTGTCAAAGTGTGTGTATCTGTGTTTGTATGTGCTGGTGCGTGTCTGTGTATCAACGTGTGTGTATCTGTGTTTGTATGTGCCAGTGTGTGTATCTGTGTGCCAGTGTTTATGAATTTGACACACCTTGACACACACTGAAACATAGTGGCACAAAGATACACACACCTTGACACACAATGTGTATCTGTTTCTGTGTGTGTGTGTATGTATCTGTGTGTCAAAGTGTGTGTATCTGTGTTTGTATGTGCCGGTGTGTGTCAAGATGTGTGTATCTGTGTTTGTATGTGCCAGTGTGTGTCAAGGTGTGTGTATCTGTGTGTCAAGGTGTGTATCTGTGTGTGTGTATGTATCTGACACACTATTACACACACAGTGGCACATAGTGGCTCACTGAAACACAGATACACATACTGACAGATACACACACCTTGACACAGATATACACACACACAGGCACATACACACACAGGCACATACACACACTGACAGATACACTGACACACCTTGACACTGATACACATAGTGACACATACACACACATTGACACACAGATACACAAACTGTATTGGGAGGTACACACACTGACACATGTACACACAGAGACACATACACACGTTTAAATTTGTTGTTCACTTACCTTTTTCTGCACGAGGATCTTCAGTGCTGCTGGCTGAAGTCGGCAGCTGCTCACTCCCCGCTACTCCCTCTCCCACCACTACAAACAAATCATTGCCATCGCCTCTTGTGATTTCAATATTGTGATGCATTATCTGTTTGTTTATTTATTGGTATCAACCAGGTTCTTGGTAATCATTTACCTTGACTTGTTATCTTATTTTCACTAACATATTTCCTGTTTACCTTGGCACATTCCTAGTAACTGATTCACCTATCTAGTTCACATTCCACCTGATAACTTTGAGGATCCAGTAATATACAGCTGTCCTGTCTATTCCCATTATTTAATAGCACTGACAAATTCTGAATGTTGGGTCATATGTATTCTTGACAATATGACTGTGGGGTAGGGTGGGATGTGACATGGCTATAGGAAACATGGTGGTAAGTAATTATGCCTATGTGTATTATTGGGGCAATGTGGATGTGGGCATGTATACACGAGTATGAGTAAAAAGGAAATACAGCTATGGAATGAGAGAATATATTTTGTCATGCAAATGCTTTACACAGGTGTTTATTGATTGATTGATTCTGAAATTCAACACATTACCTCTGCTGTCCCTGGAACCTGTAATCTAGATGATTTGGAAGAAGTGTCATTGTTGAACTGGCCTTCGTTGTATATACTCCCCTTTGGGTTTTGTAAATTAATAGATGGAACCACCGTTTGCCAAGTAACAAGGAAAAATGTTTCATTTCCAACCGTGCTGTCAATAAAAACTGTGCCATTCAGGCATTCTGATTTCTTAAGGTTTGAACTCGTACTCTCCAGCTATGTAATGAAACAAAGAAAATATACGATTGCCATATTCATCCTTTACTGAGCTTTGAAAAATTTGATTTACTGAACTTTGAAAAATCTGATAGGTGTTATTAAAGATTGCCAATGTAAGCTGTAAGCAAACTGGCTGGACAAAAAAAAAGGCAATGTATTAAATCACGTAACTCTTTTTATAAAAAAATATGTGACAAGTACAGACATTGTGGAACTTTGTTTAACTGTTTAGCTTTACAGTATGTTTTAAAAGTCCTGCCTTTGTCACAAAAACACACACTGATTTCTTTCCTCAAGTCTTGCGTCTAAGAAATTTGGAAGAGCAGGGAAGACATCATAGCAATAATATCACTACATTAATGTACTACATATCTCCCTCAACGATCATTGAGTTTGCACTATTTTATAACAAAGACATTTCCTGGGCTTTTCACAGCCTTATCTTGTGAATTTTACTGTTTAAAGTTGTAAACTCATGCAGTTTCCATAACGGGACCCACATACATAGTTGCATTACAAGTATATCTATAATTATGACTGTGTTTGACAGTACTTAATGCCTGCATGTTTTCCCTACTAATGAATTTTCAATAATCATAATTTACATCATAATGGAACTCACTCAGTCCCTAAGAAGCATGTAGAAAATGTCAAGCTGGTCAAGTATACTACACAGCCATTTTAGAATGCTAGATTCTCACTGGAGCTAATGAACTGCTGGATAGACTTGGACTTCGTCATACTCTTCAGTTATAGATGTAGAGGAATTGTTATTTCACCAAGAAGAGCCTGTTTTACGAATCTGCTCAGGGAGACATGCTCTTCAGAAAGCATGTAAACAAATGTAATGGAACAGTAGGGAGGCATATTCCCTCATCTGGAAATTTGGTGTAAAAGTAATCATGCACCTTAAGGACAGTTCTTACCTTGGGCCAGGTCACATTTCAAGAGCACAGAAAATTTTAGCACCTATATTTGTGTCAAGCAAAAATGGTCAAAAAGACAATTCCAAGGCTTAGAAAAAAAAAAATTGGGTGGAACAGCGCTACAGTACTAATCACAGGGGTGGATGGAGCTGCACACCAGAGGGAAAGAGCAACCCTCAAACCCTTCAACAAATCTGGGAGAACAGGGAACAGCAAATACAGGGTGCGCTAAGTGGAACAAATGAGAGCTAATATACACAGAAAGAGGGAAGTACAACAAAAAGTCTCTGAAAATGCAATGTGGACCTTGGATAGGTATTCTTTGGTTCTTGATTTGGGTCCTCAGTTGTTAATATGAAAAACAAAAGCAGAAACAGGGAGGGACCAATAGTTCACAACTGTTAGGAGATGGTGTCACGGACAACATAGAAATAGAGAAGTGCCAACTCACAATATACAGAGCTATGCCCAGCTCTAGGTAAAATGGCATACAGTGGTATTTAAAACTCCCCACATGTAGAATATAGCTGGACAATAGGAGGAGTTTCTTCAATACTTCTTTCAATGTCTCAGGTACGCGTCAGCATATAAAATACATAAAAATAAGGGAAAAACCCAATGGTGCAATAACGTATGACACCTACAGCTACAAACAAACACTGAGGTCCTAAGAGTGCCAACTTACAATTGAGAGAGCTATAACCAGCTCTGAGTAAAACAGCATACAGTGGTATTTAAACTCCCCACATGTAGGATATCCTTCTAGCGATATTGTAATGCAGGACTTATGAAAGAAAAAAGCACAAAAGAGGGCCCATAGTGTTCTCAGTAGATAAAATAGAAGTAAGAGGTAAAACAAAATGTACTTACAATGTATAGAGTAGCCACACTGCTCTATGAACCAGGTGTGAGTGGAATAATCCCCACCTAGGATTTCTTTTGTAGTACTGGATCTTTAGAGTAATAAAAATCAGCCAAAAAACGGTTTTGCACTATTGGTCCCTCCCTGTTTCTGATTTTGTTTTTCATATTAACTACTTAGGACCCAAATCAAGAACCAAAGAATACCTATCCAAGGTCCACATTGCATTTTCAGAGACTTTTTGTTGTACTTCCCTCTTTCTGTGTATATTATCTCTCATTTGTTCCACGCACCCTGTATTTGCTGTTCTCAATTCCAAAGCTTAAACCAGAATTTAAACAATAAATGAATACTCTCTATGAGTATAACTATTACATGTATATAAGGGACCTGTTCTTGTGACCGACAAAAACAAACTACTTAAAATTTCACAAGCAACCATTGCATTCTACATATCTACACACTATGATTCACACAGAACCTCCACACATATGCACTTCTCTCTTTACATATATGGACTACATATTTTTTCAGACTTGCATTACATATAAATATGTTTTTGCATTCACTTCTTTATACCAATGACTCTATATACAATAACATATTAAGACACTTACACACTCTACACTAACGCATTCTGGCATTTGCCAATACCAATACTACACTCACACACAGATACATCCACACTGATAAGCTTTATGTAGATGCACAAGTCCACTGGTAGTTTAAACATACATAAGCACAGATTTATTTCTGTAGTAGGAGAAAATAAAATATAACAACCTTAGTTGGTATATATAGTCCAGGAGCTGATCCACCTAAAATGGCTTTACAAATAAACTCCAATGTTGTCTGAAAGGAGCTAGAAGAAATAAATGTAATAATAATATATGGTGTATACACCTTTAAATCTGCTATAGGCAGAGTAAATGGAGTAAGCACCAGATGCTATACTTTACATGTACCAACTCCAAAGTATTTGAGAAACAATATATGAGACTGTTCTCTTTGGAGATAAAAGATGAATTAGATCACATAAAATATTACGTACAATAATGTTATGTGTGGTGTCTGTGCCTTTAAGTCTATTATAGAATAGACAGAATAGGGCATTCACCCAAAAATGCTGTACCTTTTGAGAAAAGATATAAACCTTAAAATAGGAGTACAGTATAGAAAACTGCTCCTATAATGCAATACTGATATCGCATAAAAATAACCACGTGAAAGAAAAAAGAGGGTTAAAATGAATAGATCGAATTTATTAAATAAATGAATGATAAAAAGTAATAATAATAACTGATAAAATATAAAAATATAAGTCAGGAACGAAAGGTAAGAATGTTACCAGCACAATTGTAGACCTTGTTAGTAAATTGTATCTGGGGACGGCCAGGATGGATGTAGATACTATGTGTCACCAATAGTTCTTACTGGCTGTCGGCTTACAGTGATGTTGGCGTGCGTCTCAGACCTCACTCTGAGAACTGCACGCTGCAGCCCGATCAGTCCCCGACTCGTGAGAGCTTCCTTCAGTGTATCCAAGGTCCTACTGCCGGATCAGCTTCTGCCACCGTATCCTGCTTGCAAATCTGACGCGTTTCGTGGGTGTCCGCCCCACTTCTTCAGAGATAGAATGTTACTTCGTAGTTGGGCGATGGTTTAAATACATGTCTAATTGGTTGATCTTAATTATGCATATCAGTACATACCGTGGTTTAATACAATTA